GTGGGAATGCAAATTGGTGCAGCCGCTCTGGAAAGCAGTGTGGAGGTTCCTCAGAAAATTAAAAATAGACCTACCCTATGACCCAGCAATAGCACTGCTAGGAATTTATCCAAGGGACACAGGAGTACTGATGCATAGGGGCACTTGTACCCCAATGTTCATAGCAGCACTCTCAACAATAGCCAAATGATGGAAAGAGCCTAAATGTCCTTCAACTGATGAATGGATAAAGAAATTGTGGTTTATATACACTATGGAATACTACGTGGCAATGAGAAAAAATGAAATATGGCCTTTTGTAGCAACGTGGATGGAACTGGAGAGTGTGATGCTAAGTGAAATAAGCCATACAGAGAAAGACAGATACCATATGGTTTCACTCTTATGTGGATCCTGAGAAACTTAACAGGAACCCATGAGGGGAGGGGAAGGAAAAAAAAAAAAAAAGAGGTTAGAGTGGGAGAGAGCCAAAGCATAAGAGACTGTTGAGAACTGAGAGCAAACTGAGGGTTGATGGGGGGTGGGAGGGAGGAGAGGGTGGGTGATGGGTATTGAGGAGGGCACCTTTTGGGATGAGCACTGGGTGTTGTATGGAAACCAATTTGACAATAAATTTCATATATAAATAAAAAAAAATAAAGGAAAAAAAAGAATTCAGCTAAAAAAAAAAGATAAACTGAACATTAAAAAAAAAAAGAGAGTTTCAAGAAGGGAGAAATTATTTTGGCTATGGAGCATGAAAGAGAAATTAAGGAAGGCTGCATGAAAGAGGTGTCACTTAAACTACTTCTTGAATATGGTTCATTCTCAACAAGCAGAGAAGTAGATATGGGAGAAGGAGGAGAAAGATACTCCAAGTTAAAAGAATGGCATAAGCAGAGGTACACAGTATGGCTAACAAAAGTTATGTTGGATAATGGTGAGTTGCCTGGTCCAGCTAAACCATCATGTGAGCAGGAAGGTATTTAATGTAACAAGCAATTATTATTAGAAACTCTCAGATTCCATAACAATCCACACCACTTAATATCCACTCACTAGGTATCAGTGCTCTTAAGAATTAAATGGACTTCAGGAAGATTAGTCCTAATATGCAGGATATAGTGAATTGGAGAGCAGACTAAAAAAAAGAGTCTTTTATAACAGGCCAGGTCAAGGACAGAAGGGAAGGGAGGTGAGGTAAAGAAAGAAAGGGGGGAAAAAGTAAAGGAAAAGAAAGAGGGAAAGAATCTAAAGGATTTGACAGGGAGTGGTAGTGGTAGGAATGTAAAGAGAAAACCTATTCCAGAGACAAAATTCAGGACATTTAATAAAAGATAGGATGCAGGAGACAGGAATGGAGGAGACATTCAGAAGTCACAGATGAATGAGATTGAAGGGAAAGGGACGCCAAAATAGTGTTTGAATATATTTTACATGCCAATAAAACACCCAGATAGAAGAATAAAGCAAGCCAGGCAAAAAGCATTTGAGAACTCAGGAGGGAAGCCAAGGTACTGCTACATGAAGAGGTCAGATTAAAGGAGGAAAATAAAGCAAGAAGAAGGGTAAAGCTTGGCTCCTTGGCAGAGAGAATATGTATTTAGGTTACTTGATCAAAGATTTGGAGCTATGTCTGTGACTAGGGAAGAGACTGACCAAAGAGAAACTGACCCATAATAGACTCACTCCAGTGCCTCCAAGCTCATTGGGAGCCAGTTCAAAGTGAACCAGTCGAGAGTCTGAATTCATAATAGCTTTAGCCAAATGGACCCATGCAGTACATCTCTGTATCAGGCCTTATATTGGCCAGGCATGTTTCACTTTGGCAAATCCCTTGGCACTGACAGCTCTGAGGGTAAAGTTAATAAGAAGCTTATTTTCAAGTCCTGTCTCAGGATAATTAAGGTACACATTGCACATTTAACATTTATTTCTCCTTCTCCACCAGGTTAGCTCTGATCATGGCTTCCTGCTATAGGCTCAAGAAATAAACCTTAGGGATTAAGGGGTGTGGGCTACTGGCTACAGCTAGAAACCAGTCCTAAAAAGCCCCATTAGCCCACACCTTGAGGTTTGGTGATTTTTTTTTCTTACTTTTACACCTTTTTACTAAACAGCTGAAACTTAGGATTCTTTTTTTTTCCTTCTACTTGGTTGTGGTGCATTTTCATCAAATAGCTTATGGTACTTTTCAAATGAAGAAGGCAACGTGTGTATTCTTCTAACAGTCCTGGCTATAATCAATCAGTACTGTAGTAGTTACAGAAATCACCAAGTACAAAGGAGCAAATGTATTTTTCTCCTTTAAGTTTCATCATGCCACAACAACCTGTCACAGAATCTACTACAGACCAAACTGCACACAGTGACGATTTCCTTTAAGGGACAGATGTGAACACACAATTCTGTTTTACTGAGCATGTGATCACTTCAATCTTATTTTATTTCACCTTCCCTGCGTTTCCCCCTCTCAAATGGCAAATGCTTTACCCTGAGCCATTTCAGTGAACTATGCAACCCAACATAATTGGTAATGTGAAGTTTATTGTTTTAAATGAAATTGGAAGAGTCACTTCAAAATCCACCTCTTTTATAAGGCTGGACTCTTTGGTATATGTCTTCTTAAAGCTAAATAAAACTTCCAGTAGCTTTGTACCTATAGAAACACATGCCAGGTGGGTAATTTGGGCTATTCTCCAGATAGGCACACCATCCTTTCACCTGGCAAGCAGCATATGCTTGTTTGGACTATATCACCAATTACTGACATGCAAGAAAGTTCTACTCAATTAAAAAGCCAGGTCTCAGGAAGCGAATGGGTAAATCAAGACTCAAACCTGATTTCACCTGTAAAAACCCTACATCCCACCCCCCCCCATGTCTGACCAGTGCCTTTAGCTTCTTCATAGAGAGGGCTTAGGAGTCCCATAGAAAATGATAATGGCCCATTGCTCAACCTGAGTGAAGACCACCCAGAAATCTGTGAGGGCAGCAGTGACCATACTGCAAAGCCTCGCTTAAATCCCCAGCCCTAATGATCTGAAGGCCTGTCCTTGGCCTATCAGGCAGAAGCAAATGCTGCCAAGGCTGCGCTGCCACTGAGGAAGCTTTGGTTGCTTCCTGCCCCGCCTTCTGACCAGACCAGCTGGAGCTAAAATAGGGGAACCAGGAGCCTTTGGTGCCAAAGCCTTTTACTCACCTGTAAATGCTTTCTATTTAAATCATCTGCTTCCACCGCTGGTATTGCAGGCTGTCTAGCCCAAGGTAGCCCCCAAATTGGAGAGCTCACATGGTGAGACAGCAGCTCAGAGTTGGAGCCACTGCATGGGTCAAGACATCTGTGGCCAAATAGGAGTGCCCCTATAGTAGGGGTTACTCTGCGGAGGGGTAGAAAGGGTGAAATGGGAGCAGGTAGAAATTTCCCCTGAAGACTCTGGGTGAGGCATACCTGGGAATTTCACTTCTCCAGGCCCCAGAATTGTTGCCTAATTCCTGTCTGTGGAAGTAAGGAGCTCTGAAAAAAACAAAAACATGTTCTGAGATACAGGACCCACAGAAGTTGAAGTGCCTATTACCCTGTTGGGAAAGAGCCCAGTTGTGCAGCATTGCATGAGCACTATGTTTCATCCAACTCCTCATGAAAGCCTGAGGGTGTCAGTGGGGAAATGGCCCCCAGTCCCCACACCTGTCCTGGACACTTAACTCCTTCCTTCCCAGGGGCCCTGTAACTGAGGTAGCCTTCCTGAGGCTGAAATTGCAAGATCTCAGGGACCTGTCTTTTCCTTCCTCCTTCCTTCCTTACTTGAGGTCTGATGCCTAGCTGTGCCACCTGTTCAGTAATCCACAACTTGTCTCCCCTGGCCAGGAACAGGGAGAAGGATTTCTTCTTGGAAGTCTACGGAAGGTGGGATTGAATGTCATGGTGGGGGGAGGGGGTAAATTATTTATGAATAGACCCCTCAAAAAACAAAACACCCATAATAGTCCGAAAAGTAGCTTTTAGCTGAGAGGTACTTTTCTAGCACTTCAGCCCAGCCACAACTTTTGTGGGTGGCATAGAGAAAACCTTAAATACCCCTTTACTGATTTTTCCCTCCTTGGTCCCTGGGTCCCAGAGATGGGGAAGAGAAGAGGTTGTAGAAACCAGGAGAAACCCTTACAGCAGAGAATTATAATACACACTTCCTTTGCTAGGTTTCTTTGCCAAAGCATTTTTCTTAGACGTCTGACAGTAACAAATCAAGTTGGTTGCTCCAATCCGGACCCAGAGCAACAAGGCAGGTCACACTGAGTGGTTGTCCCTCCTCACCCTTTCCTCCCTCTCAAGGGTTCCTTCTGGAGAAGTCTGAAACACTTAGGGCAGGTGGGTCCTCTCCAAGCCCTTCAGCAATGGTTCTGATAGGGTCACTCAACCTGAAAAACCGGCTCAATGGGGAGCAGGGATTCCTGTGGGGAGAGAAAATTGAGGGTCCCAGATTCTGCGCTGGGGTCCCTTGGGTTTTGAAGGCAGGTAGAGATGGTCTCAGATCACCGAGCTCTCTCTTCTCCCCTGCTTGCTGGGAATCCCCCAGGAGCTGGAGCACATCGCTGCTCCTTCGCCTAGGAGACTCCTTGAGCCCTATCCTTGCACCGTTTGCTCTCCTGGCGTCGGGCAGAAATGTGGGCAGAATCAGAAGAGCCCAGTGGGAAAGTGCCTTCCAGGCTACAGAGTCCCGCGTCAGAAGCAGAAACCATAAAGATAAGGTCGCAAAAATGCAACGCAACTGCTCGCCTGCACCTGGCAGGCAGCGCGCGCTCCTTCAAGGCGAGGAGCCCCTGGCCTTGGGAGTCCCTAAACTTTCTGGGAAAGGTGAAGGGAGAGAAACAAAACTGTCAAGTGTTTCCAGGAGCAGGAACCAGGGCTGAAGGAGAGGTAGAATCTCTGTTGGCCGCAACCAGCCTGCTCCCTTCTGCCACCTGAGAGCCTAGCACATTCTCTCCTCCCCAGCCAACTGTCCCGTTATGCACAGGAGCATTACCTGAGTCTTGCACAGCAACCGGCGATGTCCAGCAGGGCTCAGGCATGCAGTTCCACGTCTGGGGCGATGGGCCGCAGTCCAGGGCTAAATGGAGAGTTGGGTTCCAAACAGCGTGGGCTTGAGCTTCCAGGGCGAAAAGGGAGGCTACCCAAAGGCGATTGGAGCTGAAGGCGGCTTGGAGGAAAACGTGTCTTCGAGAGCAGCAGACGGAGCAGCCCCGCGTGTTTTCTCCACTCCCGGTCCTAGCCAAAGAGAATGCTAGGAAACTTGTCCCCACCCAGGGAGGATTTCTAGACTTCAGGAGAGCTTTTGTGGACTTTAGGAGGAGCTGGGCAGGGACAGGCTAAAAAGGGTTCCTAAATTACTCTTCCCCTTCGCTAGAACCTCGGGCGCCTCCTCTTGGCTCCGTGACCAGACTCTTCTAAGTCGCCTGCCTCTCAACCTCTTCCTTTGCGACTTTGCTTCAGAGCGGTAGTGCTCCAGCCACACCTTGTCTTGGCCAAATGGTACAACGAGGGATGCAGGGGCCTCAGCCTGTGGTTCTCTCTCTTCATGAGGCACGCATGCCCTAAAGGGCAGCAGCCCTACCGCCCAGACCGCAGCGCAGGCTGCAGGTGCGAACTCTGCCTGCCCACCTCTCTCCCGCCTGTTCGCTGCTCCAGGCTTTCCCCCGGAACTCTCTCCAGTCTGTGCGCAAAAACCTACACGGGCCCCCCCCCCCCCTCGCTCCGAAGAGGGAGCAGCGCCCTGGAAGTGCGCTCCAGGCTCGCGTTACATTCTGCCACAGCTGTTGCTGCCTCCAAAAGGCCTAGAGTGGGGGTATGAAGGTAGTGGAAATCACCTAGAGCTGCGTCTCCGACGCTAACAGTTTGGTGCCTCCGGGCTGACTGATTGCACCGGGAGGGAGGTGGAGATTAGAAAGCACCGGTCACGCGCGTCACGGAAAAGGGTTGCTACTGCTCCTCCTCTTCCACACCCTTTTGGATTTGGGAGCTCGGGGAGGGAAGGGGAGGGAGACTGGGAAAGACTGCCAAACCCGAGTCCCCCATCCCCGGGTAGAAAAAAAAAAAAAAAAAAAACACAACACTTCCCTCTTACCTTTCCTCGGAGAAGGAAAGTGCGTCCCGGCAGCGCCGTCTAGTGTCCGTACCAGAGTAGGCCGGCATACAGAATTGGGGAGAGCGCTCAACTGAGTGCAGGCGTTGGAAGCCACAAAGCAAAGTTTTTCAATAATCCTGGTCCCTAGTTCCAAACACTGAATAGGTATCTAGCTCAACCAGGAGTTTACCGGCTTGGTTCCCCCCAGGCAAGAAGTTAATATTAAAAACGCAGTCCGGGGGCGCCTGGGTGGCTCAGACGGTTGAGCATCCGACTTCGGCTCAGGTCGTGATCTTGTGGTTTGTGAGTTCGAGCCCCCAGTCGGGCTCTGTGCTAACAGTTCAGAGCCTGGAGCCTGCTTCACATTCTGTGTCTCCTCCCCTCTCTGCCCCTCCTATGCTCATGCTCTGTCTCTGTCTCTCAATAAATAAACACCAAGAAAAAAATTAAAAAATAACACAGTCCAATTGTGTTCATAATGCGAGTTTCCCAGTCCCAGAGAGAACTCCTTTCCACCCCTCCCACGTTAGAGATCCCTAAGTCTCAGGGTTCTCCAGCCCTGACAACCGAACAGTGAGCAGGAGGGTTCTGGGACCCCAGGAGGGGGTTGGAGGTGTAACCTGGGCCTTGATTGTTCAGGCCGAATGCCTGAGGCTCACCAGAGAAGATCCTGACCACCTGCTTTCCAAGGTCACACAGCTCAGGAGCTCCTTTAAGAGTGATAGGGAAGAGGGACTGCGACTTAGAAACCATCAGGATCTGAATTGCAGCCCAGGAAGAGTCCGGTTTCCTTTCCAGGTATCTCCCAGAGCGTTCCACTTGGCTCACGGGCTTCTTGCTGATTAACACACTTAACAGGATTGCTCATGTAAGGGGTCAGCTGAGCACTGTGCCCAAGCATTTTCTGCTGCGCTGGGATCCTATCTGTCTTTCTCTGAGCTTTCTCCAGCTGTTCTCCTAAGGTTGCTCCATCGCTCTGTGTTAGCTACTAGCTACGGAGAGTGAAATGAGCCAGAGATGGAGACAGGGACTGAGAGGGGGTAACTGAGAACTCTGTGCCTGGTGCGCAGCACAGACCCAAGCCCGCCTTCCTTGGCCACTTAGCTTTGGTCCACAATCAACTGGATTTTTAAAGTCTGAGCCTGAGCCTGTGCACAATTAAAATTACAGTCCCTTCCTCACCTCTCCTACCAAGTTTATGCATTCTTTTTTTCCCCATGAACCATCTCACCCATCATATCTCTCCAAACCCCACCCTGAAAAATTCCTTCTGCAATTGAGGTTAAGTTGGGGAATCAAGACACTTCAGAAAAGTCCTTTCAGCAGGAACCAATATTAAGTTACCCTCCCAGATTTTTGTTGTTTATATGCATAGGGTGGGGGTGGGTGAGGAGACTATATTTTTGAAACAGGGGAAATGTGCTACAGTTTTTTCTTGTTTTGTAACAACACTTAAGATAAAAGCCCATTCTTCTGACAGGTACTAGACAGCCAACTTCCCTTCCTCTTTGCTAGAAAGTTCATGTAAACTTCCCTCTGCCTGTGTACTTGCCCTGCACAGCCTGCTTCACTGCTTCCAGCCTGCCTGACCTATATTCATGTTGTGTTCAATGCCATATGCTTCCATCCTGCCAGTGACTGCACCAACGCAGGGTAAACCTGTCTTGTTGGGTGCCTGGTGCGTCCAATCTAGCCTTTTAAAAGGACCAAGCCCTCAGACCCTGGGCCTGAGTTGAGCAGCTAGGCTCTCATGGGTAAGGCCTTTTGGCCAAACCATGAGGTGTCTCACATTTAGGGTGTTAAGGAGCTAGCAGTAGGAGTGAAGGGAGTTCATTGAGGATAGCAGCCAATAATATCCTTTGGCAAATTGTGAAGTAGACAACACATTAAAAAAATACAAAAAACAAAAGCCCCATATTCCTATCCTGTGGATTCCTTACCCAATTTGACCCAGCTTCACTCTAACACCCAGTGTCCCTTTATGTGTCCAAGTTTTGTCCCTCCCATGCCATCAAAACTTACTCTCCTGTGTACTTACCATCTTCCAGTAGAGGACTGCTGAGCGTGGTGGGTTTTCCAGTCTGATAAATGACTAGGCAGGATTACCTTACTCTCCTGAGTAATATCATCCTTCACCCAAGATCTTAAGAAGACTTTCCAGAACTGGGAATTTAAGGGACCATGGAATATCAATGGGTTTGATTTGGATGGGAAAAGGCTCTTCCTACCCATCAAAGAGGGCCACTTGTTCGGCTAATCCTTCCTACTGGTCTGGTTTGTGGTTAAATGAAGAGATCTCAAAGAATTTGAGGAATGTAAGAATAAAGAGTCCAAACCGGAACAAGAGGCCAAGAAAACGGGGAAGGAACCAGTGACCTCTCAAAAACAAGTCAGGCTCCCTTCATTTTCTTTTGTGGATATAATTTATCATCTGGTGCAATTTCCTTACTCTAATATAACATTGTTCCTACCCACCCAATTTGTGTTGTTATTGTCAAATATATTGCATTTCTGTATGTTATAAGCCCAGCAACACAATTATATATAATGCATATATGAATATATACACACATGCATATGTGTGTGTGTATATATATATATATATATGGATATGTATTATTTTATACAATTAAATAACTGAAGGGAATAATGAAAAATATTTATATTGCCTTTTATAAATATATAATTATGTTTCTGGTATTGTTTTTTCATGTGTATTGAAATTTGCTGGGTCATTTGCTTTCATACTGAAGAACCTCAACTAGTATTTCTTACAAAATGGGTCTTCTTGCAACACATTTTCTCATTATTTTATCTGAGAATGTTTTTTATTTTGCCTTAATTTTTTAAAGCTAGTTTTGCTGTATGTGGATAGATTCTTCATTGATAGTTTCTTTTTCTTTCAGCACTGAGTATGCTATCCCATTGCCTTCTGCCATCCGTTGTTTCTGAAAGAAATTATCTGTGTATTTTATTAGGGTTCTCTTGTATGTGGTGAGTCATTTCTCTCTTGCTGTTTTTAGGATTTTTCTCTTTGTTGGCTTTCAACACTTTTACTATGATGTGTCTACACATGGATCTCTTGGTGTTTATCCTTTATAGTTTACTGAACTTCTTGGATATATAGATTACCGATAACCATCAAATGGATTTTCAGCCACTATTTCCACAATTGTTTTTTCTGCTCCTTTCTCTCTTAACCTTCAGGTATTCCCACTATACATAATTTAGTGTGTTTTAATAGTGTCCCATATTTCACCAAGACCCTATTCTTTTTTTTCATTATTTTTCCCCTGTCCTTCAGATATTAATATATAACTATCTATTTTCAAGTTCATCAATTCTTTCTTTTGCCAGTTCCAATCGAGTGTTGGGCTCCTCTAACAAATTTTTCATTTTGGTTACTATACTTTTCAACTCCAGAATTTCTATTTGGTTCTTTTTTTTTTTTTCCACGTTTTTATTTATTTTTGGGACAGAGAGAGACAGAGCATGAATGGGGGAGGGGCAGAGAGAGAGGGAGACACAGAATCGGAAACAGGCTCCAGGCTCCGAGCCATCAGCCCAGAGCCCGACGCGGGGCTCGAACTCACGGACCGCGAGATCGTGACCTGGCTGAAGTCGGACGCTTAACCGACTGCGCCACCCAGGCGCCCCTCTATTTGGTTCTTTTTAAAGAACAATTTCTATCTCTTTATTGATATTCTCTATTTGATTACAAGTTCATCATAACTCATTTTATTTCTTTAATCATAGTTTATTAAAACATTTATAATGACTTATTGAAGTCTTTGTTAAATTGGTCATGTTGGCTCTCTCACAGAACGTTTCTGTTGCCTGATTGTTGTTGTTTTTCTCCTTTCTGTATATGTGTCACACTTTTTTCACATCTTATAATTTTGAGTTGAAAGTTGGAGATTTTAGGTAATACAGTAACATTGAAAAATTATTCGCCTCCCCACTCTCTGGGACTTGTTTTTGTCTTTTCTTGCTAGAGTATTTGGTGTCATTCCTCGGAAGACAAAGATCTGACCATGCACTCAATTATCCTGGGCTGACTACAGTTTTTACCAGGGCTCTGTATCTTTCCTTGACCTCTCTGTTAGGATGTGTGCTTCATTTGGTATCATACTCAGTTGTCATGCTCCACTGTTGGGTTCCTTTATTGTTTTCAATGATGCCCTGAGCATAAATTGCTCCATGGTCTTACACAGGTAAATTTGGGCAGGACTAGTTTTGGGGGCCATCTTCGAGATTTGCTCTGACCCCAGGAGGGCTCTTCATAGCTCTTTCTCTGATTCTCTCTAGTGAACTAGCTATCCTATAGTTTACCTTGCTGTTCTTAAGAGGAGCTACTAGCCTCTACTTATTTGCTTACAACCAAAATCTTTATTGTTTTCAAAGGTGCCTTTAAGCTTGAACTTCCCTCACATTCTTTTTCAAGTAAGTCCGTTCGTTTCAGGAAAGCTTCAGAATTTTCTGTTCTTATGGGCTGTCTCTCTACCTTGGCAAAATCTCTGAGCCACTACTCCAGGCGAGGGTTGTAGCCTTTGATCTTCTTAGCTTGTCTTCCATGGCAGGAAACTGTCCCTTACCATATAGCTACTGTGAGTGTGGTCAGAGCCCCAGTATTCCCATCCTGCTATGTCTTGGTTAGAGTCTCCATGCTGAGTGTGGGCTGAGTGGAAAAAAGAAGCTCTTAATCACTCAGCCACATTCACCAGGAATTTAGCATCTTCAAATTCAAGTTGGATCAGATACAAAATGCTGGTGACCTGCTCCTCCTAATAAGATATCATACCACCTCATTGGGAACTGAAAGAGGGAGCCCTGTCCTCTCAGCCACATACACATGGAGTGAAGCTTTTATTAAGCTGAGCTGAGTCGAGGAGGAGGAGGGA